ACCCAAACCAGTCTGTGATTCTATGATGAAAGGAGAGCGTCGCCCTGCAAGGAAAGACTTTGCTCCTGGGAAGCTTAGTGCTGTCCATGAGGATAAGGAACCACAACATGGCATTTCCCATGCCATGTCTTGGAAATGCGCTTGGCATTGTCTGGCATCACAGATCAGTGGCTTGAGTGAGACAGGTACCAGGCACACGAGGAGTGATAGACAAGCAGCAACTGCTGCAAACCAAGAGCTGCTTGGCAAAGTTTGGCTGTGATCAGGAATCAGCAGTGTGGGTACTGGTGCTCAGGAAAGGTACCTCATGCCTGAATGACTGCAGGGTATGTGCCCTGTGGAAAGGCACATTTGGGTGCCCTGGTTGGGCTGGGATTTGACGTATGCAGGAATATTCACAGAATCACAGAACAGTTTGGGTTGGAAGGAACCTTTAAAGCTCATGTACTGTTAAGGAACGGCTGCCCGCTCTGCTCCAACTGCTGTTGGTACCGCGGAGACATTACTCATGGGAGCCAGCAAGCACCTCACCTAATACAAACTCCATTTATTCAGAGGAAAGACACACCAGCAAAGCCCGCGGATGCTCACGGCTCATGCTTTTCAGGCAGACACTCCTTTCCATTGGGAGATCTCTGCAGGCCAGCCATGTTTTAGGGTTTGGGCTCAGCCTGCCAAACTGGGGACAGGAATTCAGAGGTCAAGGCTGACATTTTATGCCACTAAACATTACTCTGCAGTACCACAGCTTCCACGTGAGCACAAGCCTGCATGCAGCTTGCTGCAGCCACAGCCTCATCCTGCTGGCTGGGCTACGGCTTCATGTGTTCCTCAGGGGCTGGATGGCTCTTCAGCACCTGAGGGTGCCTGCTCACAGTGGGCATGGGCAGGATGATGGGAGGCGAATAGGGCCCTCGCTCCGGCCAGCACAGGTCCACGATGGGGTAGAGCTGGCCCTGGAACTCTGCCTGGAAGGTGTAGATGGGGCTGAGCTCGTCAGGGTTGTCAGCATTGTAGAAGCTCAGCTCGCCCTTCTCATAGTGCAGATAGATGCCGATGCGCTGGGGCCGGGCGGTCAGAGGCAGGGTGACCCGTGGCATGCTGAAGGCCTCGTAGACCTTCCCTTCCTTCAGACCAATGAGCCACACGCCATTCTCAGGAGACTTGCTGAGCTTCCCTTTGCGGCTGACTGTGCCCTTGATGATGCCCACGCGCCAGTGGTTCCTGGTGCCCACAATCACCTCCCAGTAGTGCTGGCCACAGGAGAAGCCCTTGCAGGTGAGGATGCAATTGCTGGAGTCAAAACGCTTGGGGTTGCTGTCCCGGTGCTGGTAGAGCCCACACTGCACCACTGTGTCACCTTTGAAGAGCTCCAGGAGAGGATGTGCTGTCACTGGGTCCAGTTTCAGTGTCTCTGGAACTGAAAGGAAAGCATGTGGGCTTCAGGCACCCCAGCAGGCAGGGGTCTGGCAGAGCACTGCCACAAGCTGGCACTGAACTGGAAGCAGCTGGAGCATTATGCCAAGACAGGCTGCTACCAGCATGAGACATGACCAGCCACTGCTCCAGGAGTTCTCCCGAGGCAAGGAGCACGCAAGCAGAGGGCAAGACAGAGGGTGGGGCAGTGCGATGGTGGCTGGGCAGCCGGTCCCACAAACCAGCGAGCCCGGGCACCCGGTGTGCTGCCAGGGGGCAGGGGGTACCTGGCAGGACACGGCGATGCAGGCGCTTCCACACAGTCATCTTGATGTCATCCTGGTGGAAGCACGGCTTAAAGGACACAGGGCTAAAGACGCCATCACCAGGGTGCAGGCTGAGGAGCTCTGACCTGGAAAGACACAGGCAGCCATGACATGGTGATGGGATGGTGTGTGACCTCCTCTTACCTGGCTGCCGTCTGTGAGAGAGCCACTGGTGTCTCACCAGCTGCTCTTGCCCTCTTCTGGGGCTGTGCGCATGGCTCTGGCCGTGACTATCCATCACAACAGCAATGTCCACGCAAGGCTGCCCCAGAAATGCTGAGGTGCCCACTGGCCTGGGACCTCTAGTCCTGGTGTGGAGGCTGCCATCCCCTGTGCTGCTGTTTGGTCCCACCACTCACCTGAACTGGGAGGAGCCGTATTTCTGGAAAACATAAAAGAAAGAGAATTGGTGGTGGGAGACTGACAGAACAGCGAATCTTCTGCGTGGTCACAGCTGCACGTGTCTGTGCCCTGGGCTGGAAAGACCAGGGCTCTCCTCTTCTGAGAGAGCTACAGGCACTGCTTCTTGTGGAGGGCAGGTTTCTCCCACCAGGGGAAGGCCTGGCTGGGCAGACGGCACCTACGGTACCCACTGCCCAGGGCAGGGCACAGGGCTATGGGCAGTGGGCTGAGAGCTGGAGAGCTGAGTGGACTGTCACTGCCTTCACTAGCAAGTGCACTCACCCGGATGAAATCAAGCTGACTTTCATTGCTGAGCGCCTCCAGAGAGCTCTGCATCTCCTTAAGCCTCTGCAGGGTGTCTGATGTCTGCTTGACCTGGGACTCAATAGAGGTGATGAGCTGGGTTGCCTTCCCCTCAATGCTCTCCAGGAAGGTGGCCTTCTCCTCGTCAATGTACCTGTGCAGCTCCTGGAACTCCTTCCGGATCACCCACTTGAAGACATCCACCTCATTCTGCAGGGAGACAGCAAGTGACTGTGCAGGGCAGCCTCGCTCCATCCCCTTCACCTGCTTTTGAGTTTCAGAGGTGCCACCAGCAATGTCAGCGTGTCCCACCAAGCTGCCCTGTATTTCCTAATAAAGAGCAGCTCTGTACAGCAGGCTCCCACTGTCCTCGACAGCTCACCGCCACGGCCCCCCTGCCTTACACCTCTCCACAAAATCTCCCAGATCTTGATTTCCTGTTATCCCTGCCAGCCTCATCAGAGCCTTGAAAGAGCTCCCAGGAAACTCCCTGTGTCCTGGGCTAAGGGAGTGAAAATGCAGCTGCACTTCCATTTGGGTTCAGCCCTTCTGAGGAGCCCCACCGGGAAGCTTTAGCCTCTGAAGGGGTGCCAGGAGGTCCCTTGGAGACAGCTGGGAAATGGACATGCCACTAAACCAGGCATGAACTCGATGTGAAACCAGCACGTTCTCTGACTGAGAAGCCTGCTCCAAGCAGGGTCCTTTTCACCTGTTTATCTTCCCACCTCCAAGAACACTCAGTCAAAGAAGCCTTGACTGCTGCTCTGCCGGGACGCGCAGTGAGGGTTACATCACCCCTTCTGGAAACAGGGCTGTACCACCAGAGAGGGCTACATCACCCTTCCCAAAAACAGGTCTACAGTCAATCTGCGAGTTTTGGGGAAAACACAGACTGCAGGGAATGGGGTTGAAGATAAGCCCTCTCTGCTATCCCAGGGAAGGGCAAACAGGAGGAGAGGAGAGGAGAGGAGAGGAGAGGAGAGGAGAGGAGAGGAGGCAAGCTGAGGGGGACCAGGAGCAGGGGCTGCTCCAGGGGCTGTGTGGGACATAAAGGACACAGGGACACGGGCTCCCTTGGCACACGTCACTCAGCTGAGAGGGACCAGGAGCAGGGGCTGCTCCAGGGGCTGTGTGGGACATAAAGGACACAGGGACACGGGCTCCCTTGGCACACGTCACTCACTGCGATGCGGCTTTTGTTATTGATGAGCTTGCTGAAGTGTTCGTCCAGGTTCCTCTTGTACTGATGGAGATTGGTCAGCAGCACAGACAGCTCCTCCTGAAAAGACAGCACCTCTGTAGGAGTGACCCTGGTGGCAGCCTCCTTGGTTGCAGGCAGCACTTGTCAGCCCCTTGAGGAGCACATGGCCCTCAGAAGCCATGTTCTCTAAGCTTTCTCTAAGCTTTCTAGGGCCATGCACATCCTGCAGGTCTTCACTTTCTTGGTCTAGAGGATTTGGGGTTGCCAGAGGCAAGAGAGCACTCAGAGCATGGTCCAAATTTGGGTGCTGCTTGACCAAGCACTCTCACCCGGCGCACTGTG